TAAATATAATTCTGAATTTTAATAAATTTTGTATTTTTTTTTTATTTTTTTACCAAGTATATTCGATAGCCATTGGCTGTCAATTATACCTATATTCGACAGCCAATGACTGTCGATTATATAATTATATTCGACAGAAAAAATTTCTGTCGATTATAGTCATTTTCGAGTGTTGTTTTTACGTCAAAAATTGTTGTCGATTATATCTGTCGATTAAGATATAATCGACAGAAATACGTGTATAATCGACAGTATTTTCTGTTGATTATACTGCGTTTTCTAGTAGTGTTTTTCAATATAAATAATCAAAGAGTTTGAAAGGAATTCACCATCCATTTTGTTGCAAAGCCTTGTTTTCATAATTTTTATAACAAAAAATGCTCTTTCAGTTGCTGTTGTAGAAGCTGAAAAAGTAAGTAAAAATTGAAAAAATAAGCACCAAAATAATTAACTTGTAAATGAGGTTGTAGATCTCTGATTTTCTTACCTCCACAAACTATTAACATAGCTTAAAAATATTTGACAAATTCTGAAAACCTTGATCACAATTTATTTCAATCTCATAATGTCGAAACTTTGTTCTCAAATGAAGTTTCTCTATCTCTAAAAGATCTTGGAAGATAGTATTTTTTTACAAGCCTACAAATAGTATCAATATTGACACTCTTGCACTAATTTTTAAGATTCAAAACACCACTAAGAGTCAATATTCCATTGCATTTTCATTTAATTTGTCATTTAATTCTTGCAATTAGGAATCTATTGCAACATGGATACACAATACATTGAAGAGGATGCTAAAAGTATAAACTATATAGTTGTTCTTGTTCAAATTTTAAGTCTAGTTGCCTTTTGTCATCTATAAGGTGTTTCTAAATCTTTTGATTCATCCTCTCATCAGATGCTATATCAAAAGACTAATTTTTATTATTAAAACATATTCACCAACAACAAGTACAAAACAAAAGTTTAAATTAAAATAAAAGAAACTTATAATTTGTAGTCCCATCTATTAGTCCATGAAAAAAACTAAGAGAAATAGAGTATCTCTTACTCTTTGTGCTCCACTCCATTGTCCACTGGCGACTAGTCCCTTCAATGATAGCAATAGCAGAGGGCTGTGGCTGCAGTGTTTCTTTTTTTGATTCAAAAAATTGAAAAAAGAATGGATTATTTTTAGTAGGTAAGTTAAAAGGATAAAAAACAATTGTGATATTACTGATTTAGTACCTTGATTTGATGACTTGATTCCTTGAATTGTTTTTCTTTTTGAAGCTGAATGTTAAACAAAGACAGAGAACCAATTAGCAGTGGCAGTCGTACGGACAGCATAAAAAAAACTAGGATTTTTTTTAAAGTTAAAGTGTTAATTGATTTTTAATGAGTATTTGAAATTCCGAATTACAATTGAACTAATGAACATAGCTCATTATTTTAATGGGTAATTTTTTTTTTTTTATGTATCTTAACAATTAAAAATATAATTGTTTACACCCATTTTTGCAAAAAAATATAATAGTGCCACGTGTCATCCATATTGACAAGAATTTCATTAGTTGAAAGCAGTTGGAGTAAATCTCTCTAAATAAAGTTGAGTGGTTATTTCTACAACTACAGCAAAGTCGTTCGTTTGTTGCGAAATTCTAGGAAGATAATTGGCAACACAAACAGACTAATCTGTTTGTTTTAGATATCACACTACCATTGGTTTTTCAAGATTGCTGCTGCAAATCTCCAAGCATGCTGCCAAGGGGTGTTTATTGCTATAAGTATGTAGAGAAGAGAAGAAACGAAGCGAAGGGGACTAGCCTTTCACACAACTAGCTCAGCGCTATCTACATTTTAGTTTTTCAAGCAATGCCTTAGTTTAAATTCAGTTTTCTCAAACAGCTTTCCTAGTTAAGTATTTAACTCTACGCTGCCATTAGTTTTAACTCTGATTTTTGTTATTTCGTTGTGAACATCTCCACCTGATATATTTAGTTTTTTTTGCAATTCAATTTACTGCACTTTGCCCCAAAATTCATCTTCCTATCTTCTTTTAAATTTAGTTTTATGCTTCAGCTTCTATTTCGTTTTCTACGTTTTCATACTTTTGCGGTGGCATCACGCTTTCTCTTTGCAATTTAGTTTCCTCTCTTTGCAATTTAGTTTCCTTGCCATGCACTCTCTTTCCTTTATTTTCCTCTTTTATTTTAATCAACAAACTAATATTTCGGCCCTAATTGTGGGAAACCCTGATGTTCTTCAAGGGCAATTATTTATGGACCTTTATGCAGGTATGGACCCCCGTTTCTACGACAATCGTCTGATCAAGACGCATCTCATAATTTATTTAACCGGTGCTCTTCCATCGACTCGCAGCAGAGTTTCACGCTTGGAAGTAGTGAGGATCACCAGGAATCCCTCTTTCTCACTTTGAGCAAAGTGAGTAGCACGCCTTCGCAGTCTTATCTGCCACGCGGCTAGAAAGGGAGATTTTGGAGACAACAATAATATTTAAAATTTAATAGTTAAAATTAATCAATTAATATATATTATTTTTTTTATCCCAAGGGGGCCACCGCTCCCCCTGGTCTCCAAGTGGATCCGCCTCTGTGGCCGAATGCAAAAGGAAATTGACGAACAAGTCTCTGAAACCCCTAAATACACTCCTCTGGGGCCAATTGAACAGCTAATGTTTTATGGATAATTCGCTTGAAGCAATGATCAAGCGATTATCCTCTTCATGTCTTCTTGATCAGGGGAAAACTTCTAGTCCTAGAGATAACACGGTTCCTTTCTACCATGTCTTATCCAAAGTACGACAAGGTGTGAATTTCTGTCCTCAACGCATTGCCATTGAGTTGTGAGCCGCCTACCCCCCCGGGAAAATTGGAACCCCTGGTGGTGAAATGCTTCTGAGCCTCCTTATAGTGTTGATATGTGGATATACTTTCAAAGAATTTGTATACACCACACCAGGATCCATGACACATTTGATATATAAGTGTTCAAATTAGCCTATTGAAAACGCATTGGGCTTGGCTCAAATGAAAGTGTCATTTTGACTATAGTAGAAGTGCAGGCTTAAATTCTTATAAAATCATTTAGATGCTAATAATTTTAATAAGTTATGTCTGTTACTTCTAAAGTTGAAAATTTGCTTAATACTTATAAATAGAACAGTTTATAAATATTTATAAAATTAATCAAGTCAAAAGTTTAGATATTCATGTTATTCAAAAAAAAAAAAAAAGAAAAAAAGAAACAAAGGCTATTAAAAGCCATGTTAGATAGTCACTATGATGAATGGTCATTGATTCATCTTTGGGGAATGTCCTTGGTGGATAGAATATTATCCTTGGTTTTATAGCTCGTTAATTCGGCCATCAATTAATAGGAAAATAGGAAATTGCTATAGCCATTGATCTGACCAGAAGGATCATAACATAATAGCCAAGCCAGCAACCTCAGAAACATATGAGTGGGCTGCATCACATTTAGACTTAATCACCCCTTGGAGGATGCCACAATTAAAATAAGAGGAGGCAATCGTACTCCTAGGCATCGATCCTCGCCTCCCAACCTTAAATATTGGTGGCTCTAGGGCATCTTTGTCTGGCTTGGAGCATCTCTAGGCTCTATGCAAAACCTATAAAGCTCAACTACTCTCACATTTTCAAAACTCCTTTAATTCCTCCCCTTTCAAAGTTGCCAACATATGCATTTTATCATTTCGTTCCGTTAAATTGGAAAGGAACTTGAATTTAAAAAAAACCGTTTGCAGTCCGGACAAAACAGGGGACTTTTGAATTGATGATCCTTTAATCATTGCAAACAAAAAACAAATACCAAATTGCAGACAGAAAATTTCTCATTCAGATTCGATGGAACAAGCTCATTCAAACTTACAATTCTCTCCATACAAGAGAATTGCTCACATTCAATTAGCATTTGAACTGAACGAGCCATCCATTGCGACGTTACATGTAAAAACAATTGGATTTAGCTGCCGGTTCAACACTTCTAAGTAGGGGGATAGTAAAATAAGGAAAATCTCTTCAGTGCCAGTCATATGAGATAAGGCAACAATTTTGCAGACAGATAGAGGGAGCAATGTTTTATCCACCAGCAATGTTCCATCTACCAAAAACATCTCAAGAAGTTTATAAGAAAATGGAATAAGTAATTTTCTTGATCAAGCATCTCGCGTCGGACTAGTCTCTCCCATGTTATGTTCTGAGGAAGAAGATTGCTGTAATACAGCAGGGTTGTTACAGAGGCTGCAGGTTCCCTAATCAGCGACACCATCAGTCTCACCAGAGACCGGAACATCAGCGGCGCGAGAGACTGCAAAAGAAGAAGAAACAAATTGAGATATAAAACTGTTTAGTAATAATAAGATACAAGTACGAATTCTGCATACCATCACTTGATTCTTTGAAGTTAAACTTGATTCCCAGAATTTTTTTTTTTTTTTTGGGAGGGGGGGGGGGGGTGGGTTCAAAGAGAACGAGCTGAAAGGCACGGGCCATGGAGTTTGAGTTCTATACCTGTCGATCTTCAGCGAACATTCAGACCTAACTGTCCAGACAGGAGTTCTTAACAGAAGACCTGGGTAGTTGACGCAGAGTTTGAAGACATTAGGTGGTGTTGCCAGCGTTGAGATCTAGAATATTATCCAATAAGATGAAGCCGTGGCAGAAGTAAAGTCAGAACTACAATTTTTTTTATTGATTAGATGTAGAATAAATCATTAGAGTACTGTAACAAAATCAGAAGTTCCCTGTCTGTGACGTTCATATACTTCAAGTTCATGGGATGTCAGCAAGTTAGAAGAACCAATTGAACCAATTGAAGTCCTGGGAGATAAGAGATTTTCAGAAGTTCTGAGACAACTCTCATGACTTATTTCTATTGAGTAGAACTGGAATTGAACCTAACCTGAAAATCCAACCCCAGCCACCTTTATTGGGTGGGGTTATAGGTTACAAGCTTGCATATGCTGACCTGAAATTAGAATTGACCCAACCCAACTAACTAACTCTATCGGGTTGGGTCGGTAAGCTATTTATTTTTAATATTTTGATTAGATATACACTAACATATCTCTAATTGCCTCAGTTTTCTAGTATACATTATTGCTATGTTTGTATGAAAATGTTTATTACTTGCTAAAATTTTAGATTTGATTTTAGTTTATTTCATCTAATTAGCGAAAAATAGAAAAAATATTTGATTTATTTTTAATTTTAATTTTAAAAATTTAGCTTGTCAATCCAACCCAAACCACAGTCGCACATGGGTGGGTCCTAGATTGCTCTCTTCTAAATGGTAAACTTGATTCATATTCACCAAACTCAATACACTTGAGATCTGAGGTGACCTTATTCAAATTCACATAACACAATCATTTATTTTAGCCACAAATGTGTTAAAATTTAAAAATACTTTTCAAAATCTGCACTCCATTTACCTTTGTAGAGAAGCTGCACTAAATCATTACCTTTGAAGAGAAAGATAGCGTACAAGCTCTAGCAAAAAGGTTTTATGAATAACTCCTTGCCTATCAACTTTCAAAGCAAGCGAACAAATGCTTTGACCATGGACCTTCTCAACCAATCACATAAAAGCCGTGCCATTTGTTGAAAATTTGAAAATACCTACTTTTTGAAAATACATTACTTCAAAAAGTAGGTTTTCAAAGGATTGGGTAATCAAATCTTCTTTTCTTTTTTTTTTTTTTTCCCTGTTATATTTACTGTTAAGATGTGCTTAAATTAATTTTTATATATCTCAAAATTAATCTCTTTTAACAATTCAAGAGCATATTTCTTATATCGATATGATACAATGTTAAACTCAAAATTTAAGCTTTAAATATGACCTATAAAAAACTTATTTATCAGCTGATTCAACTATTAGGGTGATTAACCAAATTTAATAATGTTGAGTGGAAGGGACTCCTAAAGTCTCCTACAAGCCAATTTCACATGCGGCGAGTCAGATCGATAGGCCTCAACATCATTCCTCGGCATCTAGGATCAAGTAGAATAAAGCATGAAGTCTAAAAAAATTTATGACCAAAGCAAAAAAGGAAATTAAAAAAGGCTTTATTCTATATAAGGAGAAGATTAGAACAAATGCAAGGGAGTGGGTTGAGCATGACTGCATGAAACAGTCTTATTGTTTCTATATCAACAAATGAAAATTTGTAATGCATGTTGATGTAAGCAAAGGATTTAATCAGGTAAAAGAAAAAACAATTTTCCCTTCTCTACAATCTAAAAAGAACTGAAAAGACTAGCTATCCCGTCCGTTTCAGAAATAGTCGATGCCACAGATAACTTCTCCCCGGCCAACATGCTAGGAGAAGGTATGATTCTGGACCTGTTCACAAGGTAATTCTTGGAACTTCTATTCTGGGCTGATTCAAGAAATTAAAGTGACATCTAGATTGTAATGTCCAGGGTACACTACTGGACGGGCAATTGATTGTAGCTAAAAAAAGATTAGCAAGAAAATCCGGGCAGGGAGTGGAGAGTTCATGAATGAGATTACCTTGATAGCTGACCTTCAACATCTGAACCTAGTGAGGCTTTAGGGTTGCTGTGGAAAAGAGGAGAAGATGTTAATTTACAAATACATACATTTCTAATAAAAGCACAAACTCCTTCCTCTTCTGGTGGTATAATAATTCCTTCCTCTGCAACAGTTGCATCTACTTTAGATTATCTACTAACTACATTTCTAATGTTAATCTTAGAAGAAATTGTTGGATTGGAATAGACGCATTGGCATCATTGAATGAGTTGCACAAGGACTTCTCTACCTTCACAAATATTCAAGGGTGAGAGTGATACATAGATATTTGAAAGCTAAGTAACATTCTTCTTGACCATGATATGAATCTTAAAATATTAGATTTTGGAATGACATAAATTTTTGGCCAGAATGAGTCAACAGTAAACACAAATAGACTAGTTAGAACATAACAAGTATGTACTACATTCAATGTCTCATATAATATACTAAAATTATCTCATGAATATGTACATATATATACATATTAGCTAGCGTTCAATGCACCTCCTACAAGAATAATCTACACTGATTTGTATCTGACAGCTTATAACTTCATATGTTGTATGAAGTCATTATGTGTCCCCACAGTATGCCACAAATGGCATTTGCTCTGTGAAGAATGTCTTCAGATTTTGGAGCTGTCTTTAGGTTTTGGAGCTCAAGGATGAGTTGCTACACTCATGCCTCAAAAATGAACAGTTAAAAGGCTTGCTGGTTGGCCTGTCACATGTACAGGAGCAAGAACCTGACAGACCTATTTCAGATGCTATCTCCATGGTTGCAAATGAGCTACATCCCTTCATAAGCCAAAAGAACCAGCATATTGTACAAGAAATTATAAAACTAGGTTTGCATTTCCAATTGACAAGATTCATTCAGGAAATTGTGTTTCTATATCCATTATGGAAGCCAGATAGAGATTTGTGTGCCTATTTTAAGCTTTCTAGATAATTTGTACTCAGAACATTTACTTGAGTATGGTTAAGGAAGGTGACTGAAATATACTATTTGATAACCTGATCACTGGAAGCAAAGACTCAACCCTTTTCTCCCTGAGAGACTTATTGTCCTTATATTCTTGGATAGTATGCCACTCATTAAATAAATCCTAATTGTTCTGTTTAAATTAGAAGATCACCTCTCATTTCAAATTCTCAGAAACCCTAAATGAGTTTATTGTACCCCTATATGAGAACATTCAGACCATTCTAACTACATATTTAAAACAGCTGGGGTTTGCATGCTCCAAAATAATATTAAGTTAGCAACATGCAACCTCTGTAACCTTTAGTTTCACACACTCATTAGAGTAGTCAAGAAGAATGAAGTGGGCAATGAGGAAAAGAGACAACCAATGAATATAAGGCCAAATTTATTAAAAAACTATATTTCAACTCAGAACCCCTCACAATGCTACCAAAACAGGGAATAAAGCCTAACTTTCCCGTTAGCCAGACAAATTCCCAGAGAATTCGACAATCATTTAAGCTGAAACTAAGAGAAACGGCTTAAAATCAATTCCCTAAATGGCTGATTAATAACCACTGCATTTGCTCTTAACAAAAAGGTATAAGCTAAAAGAAACCACATAAAACTAATACAATGAAATTTGAATGAGTTTGAGGCTCATGCCTGCTGCCAAGTGAATACTAATTCTCAAGATCCTCCGTACTCTTCCTTCTCAGGATCTTCTTCCACTTCCTTCTCCTCTTCTTCTTCTTCTCCAAATTCATCATCTTCCTCTGGAGGATCATGTGGCATTGGTGGAGGTAATGGTGTTTTCATAGGACTAAACTGGGGAAATATATCAGGCCTACGCCCAGGCTTTGGCCTCTCCCATTCCTGCCATGAAAATAAAAGGTCATATTAATCAAACAATCTAGAAAATAAGCGCTAATAACACTAAACTAACCCTGAACCAGAAATTAGAAAATTACATCCTAATCTCAGTTACTAATAAATATATATCTATATATATATATATATTTAAATCTTGAGTTGTAGAATGGAAAGGCAACCTTCTCCCATCCCACCCGCATTCAGGACCTCTTACTTACACTAGAAGCAGAGCAGCACTAAGTGACTTGGGTCGTTGGTTACTAATAATATCCCAAACTAAACACGAAGGGGAAACTAAATTCTAATTTCAACTATTATCAACATCCATGGCACCAATTTTTCCATTTTTTTTTAACGACAATTCATGGCACCAATTAACACAATGATTTCAAGTTTAGCACAAAAATTAATTCTCCACCTCAAATCATTAAGGAATCCGAATTCAGGCAGCAGAGAATTAGTTTTCCAAGAATAAACAGGATTCAAAACATAGTCAATCACAAGAGAAGGGACTTACGATAGGAAAATCGAGAGGATTTCGTCGAGTCAGTTTCTCTTCCTCAGGGGCCATGCGCACCACCTGGCTCTTTCTCCTCCGGTAGTTAGCACAAGAAAGGGAAGGAAAAGACGGTTTGGAGACGATAAAAGAGCATCTGTAACTGAGGCTCCTAGATGACGAAGAAGATGCGGCGTGCACGGTGGACGAAGAGGCAAGCGCTATGGTTTTCGAAGCAGACGGCAAGGAGAGGCACATCGATGCCATCATCTTTTCCGGTTCCGATTAGACAACCCCCTTTCTTCGAGTCTCACCGCAGTCGACACACAACAGAACAGACGCCACCAACCTCAATCTCTTCGTTTTCCGTGGTGCCGACTTGCTGTGGCCGAACCTTTATGTGGGCCCACATATAGTAAACAGGCCCATATCTTAAACATTTATATTGGGTCTGTAGTGAGGCCCATCTTATCCGCTGAACGAGGACGTTTCTGGTTTAGTTTGGCTTTGGGATATTCTGACATATAACACTACTTTTTTTTTTTATGGTACATATATATAACAGTACTTGATCAAAAGTTATGGGTTGTGTTTAAATTAAGGGTTTAAATAAAGTTGGCAATTAATAATTTGATATTTGATAGTTCATAATTATTGTTATTTATAATTTATAATTTAGAGTATTTTAATTTATTTAATTAAAGTTATTAATTAATAACTATTCTCGAAACATAATCTATATACCTCCTATGTTTGTTCATGATAGTTTTTTATAAATATTTTTAAAAAGTAAAAATTAATACATTTTAGTATTAAAAATATTAAAATATTAATTGTACATATATAATAAATAAAAATTAAGTAAAATCTACATTATATCTCATTCATCATTTGATCTTAATGCATTAGTTTTTCTTATAATCTGAATATTAAATATCAAATAATAAAAATACTTGGACCTCATAACTTAATAATTATAAGTTGATTTGTAAAGTACATTTTTCAACTTTCGAGTTAGGATTGGAATTTCTAACCCAAAATTGTAAACATGTTAGAAAAAAAAAGTCAAATGGTAAAAGTTTTCGCATGTTCAGGCTAATCACTTGCCTTCCAGTGAAAACACCATTCTAAATTTAATATTCAATTCCCCGAAATCCCCTTTCCCATCACAATAGCATAGTAAAAATGTTTGTAAAAATTATGGTTGTTAAGAAAAAAAATATCAAATAATAAAAAAAATGGTGTACAATTCATCTTTCTTTAATGTTAAATTCTCATTTTGGTTTATCTACTCTACTAAAAAATTTTTTAATCATTTTATTTAAAAAATTCTTTTTTATCTTTAAAATTTAAAGTTTAATTTTTTTTTAGTTTCTCTATTAAATTTTACATACGTAACATGTTAAATAATAAAAATTTTAAAATAAAATGACTAAAATAAGTTAAAAGAAGAAAATAACTTAAATTTGCTCCAACTACTTTAAAAGAAAAACTCATTATTTATTTATTTATTTGAAATTTTTGTTATTTAATATCAAAACTTCACAAAAATAAAAAACAAATTTTAAATTTTAAGGATTAAAAAAGTTTTAAGTAAAAAAATTAAAATAAAATTTCTTTTACCGAAGTAAAAAAGAAAATTAGTGTTTTAACCTTCTTTAATTACATACCTCGT